CACAGCAGAATCCAATGACCCTATTATTTTTAAAGAGAGAGAGTGGAAGGGAGGGAGAAAGAGAGGGAGAGAAACACTGATGTGTGAGAGATGCATCGATTGGCTGCCTCTCACAGGGCCCCAGCCGAGGACCTGCGCTGCACCCCAGGCCTGCGCCTGACCAGGATCAAACTGTCGGCCTTTTGGTTTGCAGTAACACCCAACCCACTGAGCCACACCAGTCAGGGCTATTTCTACAACTTCTATAAAATATTTACCTCTTTGAATTAAAGTTTTAGGTGAAAGATGCTTTTTTGATGGTTCTTACCTTAATCTAGTTTCTTTTGGTTTTAAAGCACAAAACCGTCTTACAGGTAGCTTAAGATAAAAAGGAAATTACATTTGTGAAACCAGATAAGCCGGCAGTTGTGCTGCCTGTCACCTCCCAGACCCAATAAGCGGAGACAGGGATTGAATCTTTGTGGACGCTTTATTCAGATGGTTGGTGATCTGAGAAGATGGCGGGTTTGTGCCCTAACAGACATCCTCAAATTCCATTTTCAACTGACCCTTTTTATAAGGAAAAGAAAAGTGTAGGTAAGGGGGTTGTAATTCAAGGGAAAAAAGTATAGGTAAGCATTTTGGAATTCAAGAAAGAGGTTAATCAGATAAAAGCTGCGGTCTGGTCATTTCTTTATCTGTGTCCTGGGCAGTTTTCTTTATCTGTGTCCTGGGGGGCAGACTGTCTCTCCCTGGAACACAGTGGCTCAGATACCACCTTGGCTGCTTATGGTCTCTCCTGGAGCACAAAGGCCAATGGCTTGTGGTCTCCTGGAGTCAGGGTGGGTCGTACCTGCAGTTCCTGAAACTATAGCTTTTCACATGCGTTAACTACTAGGCTTACTGACTATTACTTAAACTAAAATTTTCACACTCTTGAGTCTTACATCATTCCCCCACTGTTAAAATATCTTATTTCTGTGAGATCAGTTTCATGTGGAAGTTCTCACTTTGCTGTTGAGCGCGTATCTTAGCATTAGACCGTCTGGTAGGGGGCTTAGGAATACATTTAACTGCAGATCCACATAAGGGGGCGCATTGTGTGCAACAACAAGTGATGATAAAGCACAAAACAGTTTTAGCACAGTTGACAAAAGTTGTATGCCTTCAGCTGGGGCCACATTAGTGGCTTATAAGGAAAACATTTCCCTGTCTTTGAGAGTTACCACAGGTCCCCAATTATAAATATCAGTAAAAGCTTTCCAGGGAAGTACAAACATCTGTAAGACATGTAGTGAAAGTTTGTTCAACATAAGTTCCTCCTGCAAGAGAAGAGTCAGAGATGTTTAGAACATTTTGCTAAATATACCCAAATATTTTCATCTAATTTGAAAGGAACAAGTTCTCCAAAACGTGAATTTAAACAGAAAGTAATGAAAAGAATATGTCATTGTTTTTGAAAGATGACTTTCAGGTCTTCTTGGGGTTCAGTGGTCCGTTGTTCCTGCAATTCTTTCTTTATTCTGGGGCGATGAATCCAAGGTTTTATTCCTGCCAACTTCACCATGGTGGGGGTGGGGAGGAGTACGTCCCAAGGTTCAGTCTGCTTTTCTTCTGGTTGGCTCTCTGGAGATGCTGTCGTCCAGTCTTGAGTAGCCCCTTATCTCCAGGCTCAAAGGAATGGAGCCAGACCTGCCAGAGGACAGGTCAGTAGTACAAGCAAGGTCATTAATTACAGCTAACATCTGACTTAAATTTACATATTTCTTTATCTTCACTTCTTGATCTATATACACCGCTCCCACTCCAATCATAGCCCGAAATGGTTTCATAAGGACTTAACTGAATCCCACTACGAGGAGCCACCCTTATCCTGAGCACGGCAATAGGCAAAGCTGGATCCCAATGGAGATGAGTTTCCTGACACAGCTTGGCTATACTTTTCTTCAAGGTGTGATTCATCTCTCTACCTTCCAAGAAGCCTGAGGTTTCCATGCTGTGTGGAGTCCCCATTTGATTCCTAGAAATTTACTAACCTTCTGTGTAATTTCTGAAATAAAAGCAGGTTCATTATCGCTCTAGATGCTGCTGGGTAGGCCAACGTGAGGAATTACTTCCTCCAGTAAGCTTTTCACTACCTCGAGGATTTCTCCATTCTGGTGGGACAGGCTCCTGTCCATCCTGAAAAGATGTCAATGAAGACTGGCAAATTTTCCCACCTCGGACGCTTGGCATCTGGGTAAAGTCTATTTGCCAGTCCTCAAGTGGGCTCTGTCCTTGGTATTGTTTCCCTTCTTTCTTTGGATGGGGATCTGTCTTGGGGTTGTTCTGGCACAAAACACATCTAACAATTATTTTTCATATGGCTTCAGAAATTCCGGGTTCTGTGGGCCATGGTTTGACATAGGTGGTTAATGAGTCTCTTCCATAGTGAGTGGCCTCATGCACATGCTTCATGACTGGCTCTACTAAATGTTCAGGAGGCAGTATAGCTCCTTTCTTATTCTTTCCCCATCCACTGTCAGGTCCTCCTTCATCAAAACTCTAGCTCTCAGCTTTCTCTAAGTCTGCGGTCAAATACTCAGGGTCAAATTGTGACAAGTCTGTAACAGGCACCAAAGGCATTATAAACGTCCCTTTAGCAGCCTCTTTCACTGCTCCATCAGCCAGTTTCCTCTAGTCACTTCAGCGTCCTCTTTCTGGTGCCCCGGGCAGTGCATTACTGCCACCTTTACAGGTTACTGCCACCTAGAACAGCTTTTAATAATTTAAAATTTTCTGTGGCATGCTCAATCTCCTTTTTATTGGAGGTTAACAGTTCTTTTTTCTTCAAGATGAGACCACGTGGTTGCAAAATTAGGAAAGCTTACCTTGAGTCGATGTACACATTCACTCTCTTTTCATGCAACAATTCCAGTGCCCTCGTCAGTGCAAACAGTTTGGCTTTCTGAGCAGAGGTTCCTGGCGGCAAGGCCTTGGCCTCTACTGTTCTTTCCAGACTCACAACTGCATACCCAGCCTTTCTGCTTCCTTTGTCCATGTAGCTGTTTCCATCTGTATAGGGTGCAGCCTGCCTCTTCAGGAGGATAGGACTGTAAATCAATTCTGCTAGAATGCACTTCATCAGTTATCTCAGCACAGTCATGTATTAGCACAGCCAAGTCAGACTCTGGGAGAACAGAGGCAGGATTTAACTTACAGTTTTGAGGGAGACATTGGGATTGTCGAGAAGAATGTCTTGGTACCTGCCCCTTCTTCCAGCAGTGAGCCACAAATTTCCCTCTTGCTCCAGCAGGCTCAACACTTGCTGGGGTGCATAAACGGTGATAGGCTGTCCCAGGGAAAATTTTCAGCTTCCTGTAAGAGCTCACAGGTGGCTGCCACAGCTCTCAGGCAGGCTGGCCACCGCTGGACAGTGTGATCTAGTTTTCCTTGACAAGTTAAGCGATGGGTTGCAGCATGTCACTAAGCATTTGGGTGAGGACTCCTAGGGCAATGCCCTGCCTTTCATGAACTGAGAGGCCTTTAGTAGGTTTGGAAGCCCCTGGGCTGGTGCAGAAGCCAGGTGCAGCTTCAGGGACTCAAGAGCCTGGTGCACTCCTTCGTCCATTCTAAAGGGATATATACTCTGGTCCTTTCAGAATTTTTCCAGTTTAACAGATCTGATGTAGAAAATGGAGTATGTTCCCAATAATACCCAATGAACTGGCCCTCTGGCCCTACTCTCCCCGGAAGTTTTCGGAAAGGGTACTTCCCTGACCTTGTAAGGGCTTTTCCTGCACCGAGTTTGGTTCCCTGACAGGTTCAAGATGGTGAGACCAGTTCAGGGTCACTTTCCCCAGTTCACTCAGCCGAGTAAGGAGGAAGATCCCCTAGGGCTGGAGGGGCCGTGGGAACCCTGACCACGCTCACAGCAACCATGATATCCAGATCTTTCTGGTTCCTCTATTCTGAGCTTCTGCTATCTTTCACAGGCAAATTCCCTTTTCTCTGGACCATTAATCTACTTCCTTTTAATCCTGCATCCGGATTATGTAAACTCATAAAAGTTTCTAATTAAGACATTTGTCCCACTTCCCAGACCTTTGACAAAATAGCTGTAGTTACAGTATGTTACAGTAATTCAAAGACCCATTCAACAGTTAGCATTCTCCTGAGTCTGTATCATGTAATACATAAGCCAAACAGTATTACAATAAACTCCACTTTCTTTTTAGTCACAGGTTTATAAGCATAGGTCGACCAATGAGCCAAAATTTGCCCCAAAGTGCTGTTTCCCAAAATGAAGGCTTTTCCCCCCATTCAGGCAGACAGATCTGTAGTGTCACAATAACCAGAAGGCACCTTTAGCAGACACAGCTCTGTAAACCAGAAGTCACCTTAATTCCTGATGAACTAAACTGTGACCTGGGATTGTAACCTCAACCAGAAAACACAGTGATTCAATCAAGTGTGAAGACGACGGGAGGTGCTGAGAGTCCGAGAAGAGTCCCAAATCACTTGGCAGCCACTAGTCTCCAAATTTGCACCCTGGGCCCCCTCCCCCCCAGTCCAGGCAGCTAATGGGACTCCCTGACAAATACCCAGACTTACAGAGAGTCCCAAAGTAAAGGGAAGACCCAATCTTGTTACGTAAGCATGGATGTCAGATGCCTCATCTTGGAGTGTTGGAAGAAAAAAACCAGAGTAAACGGGTATTGGGCTGCAAGGATAGGTGAGAAGGGGTCTGCTTTGAACAGACTAACCTGCTTTGAAATTAAGTCGGAAACTTCTTTAAAGAATATTATGCGTGCTAAATTGTCATCTGTTTTCGTGGGGTCTTGATCAGAGGCAGTCTCTGTGCTATGACAGCATGCAGCTGGCCGTGCTCTGGAAAGCACACCTGCCCTGCCACGCTCCAGACAACACAAAGGAAACATGTTATTATGGAAAATCTTTTCAATGATTTTTATTTTTAAGAAACTTACCCACATATACTTTATCAATTAAAAATGAATAATTCTGCTATGTTTCATTTACAGGTCATGCCTTGACTGCATTGGTAAAAATGCTGTAATTTTAGAAAGTCATATAGCTTTATTACCTCCTAAACTTCTGCAACAAGTACTCAAAAAAATCACATTTTGGACTGCAGCTAAGCACCGAGACGAACAAAGAGCCCAAAAAGAAGAAACAGAAAATAGGTGTCAGCGGATCTGTAGGAATTAAATTGTTATATACTCTCTATATTTAGTGTGTTTAAACATTTAAATCAGCCTGTATATTTATACCCCAAACTGGAGCCTTTGTTTGGAAGATAAAATTTGAAGCAAAAATGTTATGTTAAAGTGATTACATGGATGGGATATATGGGAATGAGGTGTTAATGGCAGATTAATTTATATTTCTAAAATAAATTCTTTATGAATTGCAGAAAAATATACCTTCTGAAAGTAAGTACAGTTGTAGGAGATTTAAGTCATTGTGTATCCGTTACTGGAAAGATTGTACAAATTTGAGGGGAGTAAGAAATTACTCAAGGACTTTAGAAATCATAATGATATATAAATTAATGATAATGATACATAAAAACAGGACATACCAACTTTTAAAAGGAATAGATTTTCTCAAGTCACTTTATAATTACCTAAATCTTCTCATTAAATAACTTAGTTATTTAACTAACATCTTAAATAACATCTCCTAATCCAGCTGGCCTGATTATAAAATAGGCAAACACTGATGTAGTGTTAGATGCCGAGTGCCTGCCTTTGGCACTCACCTAGGAAAGCAGTCTCAGGCATTAACGCAGCTTTCCCTTGTTCTTTCTGTAGGTTTTCTTCGACCTTTATTTGAGTAGGAAAATAAATGTATTCAATTGCTTTCTGTTACCCCTAATTTATTAGTCTGTCCAAACTTATAGATAGATAGATAGATAGATAGATAGATAGACAGATATATACCTATCTATATGTATTTATAAAGACTAATAGACTAATATGTCTATAGTGTATTAGTTTATGGTCTCTCTATATATTAGTCTCTCTCTATATATATATGAAGACCATGTTTTAAAGTTTCTAAAATGGAGATTTGTCATACAGGCTTTGAATTATTGAGAGGCAGTATATTTATTAATTGTTGAGACACATTAAAATATATTTTGCCTTGGGAGAGTGCTTCTACAGTAATTTTCATAAATAATGAAATGGAATGGTAATGTAGTAATTTGCCTGTATTGAAACTCCTCAATTTTGCCCACCCCATTCTACAAAGTCGATGCTTAAGAATATTGAAAATGTGTTATGTTCCTATTTATTTTCAGTATTAACTGCCTAAACAGAAATAAAACACTGTAGCTTTATATTCTTTAAAAGAGTAATTTTGCCATAATTAAGAAATTGTGCATATTATCAGTCATATTCTTCCACTGAATAACAATATATTACTGAAAGGCTTGGTATATAAAACTACTCTCCACAATACCACTATACAAATTATCTCTGAAATTTAAAAGGTGAGAGCAAATATTGAAATGTATGTATAATTTATAATGAAAATTATAGTAATTTGAAGTATCTCATTACATTTTAGAGATATATTTTATATATATGTATTGTATTTTGGATGGGTAAAGCTTCTATTTATGTACTGAAACATTTTGTTAACATTTTATTTATTATACAAACTATAGATTTACTATTTTCCCATTTTCACACTGGTTAGTGTGAACCAGTTATTAGAGTTGATTGTACAAACAATATTTCAGTGTAAAGTTTCATTTTTCTTACTATGTTTAGGCCGAATAAAAAATTGAAAGAGTGAATCTCACAGGTAATATGCATCTTGTAAGTAATGTTTTATTACGATGAGCTTCAGTATCAGCATTTCCTATTTAAGGGGAAAATACCAAAAGCTACTGGATAGGTGACACTGAGTGGACCGAACGCTTTTTTTAAATGGCTTCTGGATTATATGAATGCCTTCTCTAGCCTCTTAGAAAAGCACTTCTATTCTTAAACGGTTTACTTAGGACATTAAAAGTTGCAGTAGCCACTCTAATACACAGCAACATTTAGGCTTCAAGAGAATGAAAATCTGTATATTGTATTCTCTACAGTACAGGTAGCTGGCGCTATATTCATTTGACCTAATATACTGTGCTACTCCAAAAATTATGTCTTGAGGTAGCCCCATAGTGGGAGTGGCAGGGAATGCTGATCTTCACCTTCAATTTCTGTAACTTTGCTTAAACCAGGGCTCTCCTGCTATTAGGAGATAGTAAGAAGTATTAATTCCTCCTGATGGTTTACTACCAGCTTCTGTGTTCTTGACCTCCACGGGATCAGCATACGGGAGCCCAAGGCAATGACAGCCTCCTAACATTAGCTCTGAATTCTCTCTTACAGCGTGTTTGTTTGAAAGGTGATTCTAGATTTTGTTCTGGTGGTTCACAAAATAGGTCTCCAGTCTGGTTCTTGAAGAAAAAGAATTTCTGACCATCTTTATTATGTCTCTTGGGATATTCTTCCAGTTGTCAGGGAGGATTCTTTTTTGGTATCATTTTTGGTATGATATACTGAAAATAGCACATCAAAATAAGTGTACATTTTTTTCAAACAGTATTTTTGCACAACTTTTAAAAAGTATTAGCCCTTTGGTAGAAGCTTAAAATACTCTTTAGAACGTCATAGCACAGGCACAAGGTGATCTTTCACCAGTACATTATATATATATGGATGAGGAAAACTAATATAAACTCACTAAGACAATAATTTTCAGGGTGGTATGGGTGTCGGGCGCACTAAATCAAGATCTCTGCTGAACCAGAAGAGCAGAGCCGGGTCGGGGCTGCGCGCCCGGAGCCTGCCCACCCCCGCAAGCTCCCGAGAGGGCACCTGGGGACGGAGGTCTCCGCAAGTCCACTGGAAACCGGGTCAGTGAGACTAGAAACACCCCAGCCGGGCCATTTCAGCATCGCTTTGGCTACAACCCAGCGTATCCTGGCAGAGCTTGCAGGGCTCGGAGCTCTGCTGTGTGCGGAACTCGCCGTCACGGCTTCAGGGCCCGGGCTGGGCGGAGAGGTGCGCGAGCGGCGGCGGGAGGACCCGGCGCGGAGCGCGGGCCGAGCTTCCGGAGCCCAGCAGGTGGCGCTGGCTGAACGGACCGGTGTGGGGGGTGGGGACGCAGCGTAAACAGGAGCTGGCGGTGGCGTGAGGCGAGCGGGGGGCGGGGCGGACGGGCGACGAGCTTGTGCCTGACCTCCGTGGACCCTCGCCGGCCTCGGCCCTCGCCCCGTAGCCTGCGACCCCGTCAGCACCGCCTTGCGGCCGAGGGGCCGTCCTCCGAGGGTGCTGGGCGGGTGCACGTGCCCGCGACGAGGGAGTGGCTTCCCCCAGTCCCTTTTGCAGCCGTCCGTTTCTTCTCCCTTTCCCTTTGTCTCTTTTCCCCCCTCACGGCGGCGGCCTTGGGGATTGTCGGTGGACGGGAGTGCAGCCTCAAGATGGCTGATGGGAACGAGGACCTGCGGGGGGACGACGTGCCCGGGCCAGCTTACGACAGCTACGAGTCCATGGAGCTCGCCTGCCCCGCCGAACGCAGCGGCCACGTAGCGGTCAGCGACGGGCGCCACATGTTCGTCTGGGGCGGCTACAAGGTCAGTGGGTGGCCCGGGCTGGCGGGCGTTGCTTCGTGTCACCTGGGTTCTGGTGGCGGGGCGGGCGGGCGGACCAGGTTGGCCGCCTCCCGTGCCCCCCGTCCCGATTCTGCGCGTCGTTGTTCTTTCTGAGCGTGGGAATCTTCTCACGAGTGCCCGGACCGGTCCGAGGCCCCAGGGCTGTTGTCACCCCCACGCCCTGCTCGCACAGCGCGCTCTGCCCCGCAGCCCTGTTGCTCCAGGCGCCCCGAATGCTCTGTGACTTTGGAGCGGTATTTTGGGGAGGGCACGTTGGGCGTGCCTGACAATTAGCCGTGTTTTTATTTAAAAAGTTGGGGGTGTGCGTAAGACGTGACGGTGTGTGATGTCACTCTTACTCTCCATCGGGTCTACCTGTGAGCCGAGGCCATTGGCTCACCGGTGCCGCTGGCCACAGGCAACCTTCCCACCCGTTCGGGAGGCCAGCTGCAGCTTGTCCAGATGGCCGTCACTCGGTGTTAAAAAAAAGTTAATGGAAAAGCTCCACCAGTAAGCAGAACATCAACAGCTCCTCGGCCCCTAATGATGATGCGATTGCTTACCTCTGCGGAGCCAGCTGCATTTCTTCCCGCCCCGGGCATGGGCCTCTCCCCGAAGTGTCTGCTGTCTGACCCCTGCCCACTAGTTCTCCAGTTCTTTTGATTTTTAGAACTTCCTAATAACACTCCACATTCTAGAATCTTCTTATTTCATTTATTCAGTTGGCTCCAAGCTATTCCTACCAAAAATGTTCTTTATAGTCCCTTTCCCTCCTAAAAATAATCCCCTCCCTCCAGTATTCGCTTGCGATCTATTCCGCTACTCCTGTGTCTTGGGTGACTTGCTTTGTGACTCTGGCAGTACGTTTCAGCTTATGGTCCCGTTGAGCTGACCTTCTTCGTCGAACACTTTTGAGGTGACTCTCAGAAGACAGGACAGAGTGCCTTAGCTGTCCTGATGACTTCATGTAACTGAACCGCAAAAGTTTTGGGGTTTTTGTTTGTTTTTCTGCTAATCATAATTTGTGTTTTCCTCAGCCTCCAATGAATAGGTGTTTAGAGGGTACTTGTTAAGAGGAAGAGGGAAGATATGTGGTGATCCTTAGCTTTGTATACAGCCGTCAGTCGTCCTCCCTAGGCCCGGCTGATCTTCTCGGGTTTAGCCTGCTGTGTTCTAGCCGATCCCTTCAAAAGTGGTGGAGTGGAAAGTGAAATGTTGACATAGCCAGGTGCTCTATTCCTGTATGATATTCAAGCTTGTTATACTCTGACACCCATTCTCAGAGGACTGCAGTTGTTTACTGCGTGCTGACATTGTTCAGAAGTGGCCAGCCAGGTTCAAAGATTGGAGAGGTTGAGCAGAAGTTGAAGCTACAAAGTCAGGGAAAGGAGGCTGAAATCCTTGTTCTACCATTACTTGCTAAGTAACCTGGCAAATTGCTTACCTCTCTAAAAAGCCTGTTTTCTCAAAATACCAACTGCTTCTAGCGATCATTGTGAGTGTTAAAGCAATCCATATGTAGCTGTAGGGCTAGTTCTAGTACATGGTACATTTAGTCTAAGAATTATTACCTGAAGGGAAATGGAGCAGGACAAGGAACTTACAATTCTGCAGAAGGACTTATGTATTGTCATATTTGCTGTGCTACCCTCTCTGCATCTTGGTAGAGAATGGATGGGTCAGAGGAAAGAATGGCTAGAAAAACTATACCTTACATGTCAGAGTGAGGAATTCAAGGGTAGACCTTTTTTTAGTCTGCTCAGCATGGCACAGGTAATCTCTCCTGAAGTCATGCAGCTGACATTTGGTGCATGGTCTTTTCAGGATCAAGTGGCCTTGGAGATTTCCCGGTGGTCTCTTAACTTTCTCAACCATTGCAACTGTTCTATCAAAAATTTGAAATAAGAGCTGTCTATAGTAAGCATTGGCTCTAGTTTGTGGGGGGTGGGGAGGACTGTGTATTTGATGGACTTATTGACCTATTTTGCATATCTCTCTGCATCTCAAATAAGATGAATGTGAAAAAATACAGCAGTGCCTCTTTAGAATACCAATTATTTTTTATATTTGCAATTTTGTTTTGGGTTCTTAGAGTAACCAAGTCAGAGGATTATATGACTTCTATCTGCCTAGAGAAGAACTGTGGATCTACAACATGGAGACTGGAAGATGGTAACTTGATATATAAGGGGAAACATTCAAATAATGTTGTAAACAAAAAGAAAACAATTCTGCTGGTTTGGCCTAGCATCTCTTCAGAAGCATCACATGTATTTTTTAAGATGTTGCATCTTTTATTGCATGATATCTTGGATGAGGAATGTTATAGATTGTATCTATTAGAAGTAAAGGTGGTATTCTATTTTAATGAGCTCTAATATTAAATTTTCTATGTAATTCTCTTTGAAATAGTGTTTAGTTTACAAATCAAAACTAGTTTAAATTTACCTTCCATTCAAACTGGGGCTATTCTGAAAGGATCTTTTGCTAGTCTCTTAACAGTGGTACTCAGGAATCTGTCCTTGGTAGAATTAATGTGATTCTTAGAAGGCTAGGTTAACCATGTGTGAGGCTTTGTAAAGTAATCTTCCCCCAGGGTTTGCATTGTGAGAACATTGTGCTGTACAAATACTACACATATTCTGGATCTCCGAACTGGAATATACTCCCACTTAATTAGAGTTAAGTTAAAAATAGGATTATTTCTGTACACAGACAGCTAATCTGAGCTGGCCCATTACTGAGCTAGGTTAACCATCTTTTTTTCTGGAAAATTGGAAGTTTATAATAGTATTCCTTTAATACAGAATTCTACATATTTTTAGAAGAGAATCAGCTCTATAATTTTTTAAAAGCCTACTAAAACTTAAAACCTTAATATGAAATGATATTGTGGGCAGACCTTGAATGACCTATTAAAATTGGTGTTTCCCTGGCTCACTCAAAAACAAGAACAACTTTTGGACATATGAATGAACAGAAGTTCAGTCTGAAAAACATAAAATGTTATGCTCCCAGAATAATGTGACCTGGAGGCTTTTCAGCGCACGCATTCTGCCTCCGTGCAGGGCCGGCCAGCGAAGCCTGTGGAGCGGAGAGGGAAGAGCTCCTTCTTTGAATTTATTTTAGAGCCAGATGAGACCCTAGACATGATTGAGTCAGCCTGCGCCTCTTTTAT